ACACACACAAACACACATTTTTTTAAAAAAAAAGAAAGCTTACAAGGGGTGAGGTTTGGGAACGTGTCTCCTTCCCCCAAGCACAGCGGTGGTCAGTGTCAGCCTCTGTCGCACCAGGGAGTCCTGAATGCCAGGCTACTCCAGCCATGCTCCTGCACAGCAGCGCCCCGAGATGGGGGGACTATCGGAATCATGCTGGAGCTCAATCAGTCCAGAAACAGACTTTTTACTATAAAAATGACACCTTTCAATAGCACTTACTCAAATAAAAAGAGATCAAGTCATTACAGAGTATTTTTTCATTTTATTTTTTTTTACGAACGACAGACCTACTCAATAATTTTATTCAGTTTATTTAAATAAGGATAAGGCTACTTAAAAGACTTTTTACATACAAAAAAATGTACATTACAAGGTTAAACTTTCTGTACTGAATTACAAAACCTGCACAAGCATTTAATAAAGAGCACACTTAAAAACATTTGAAGTCCCACAGTAGAGAACAGAGGAGGCTCTGACATACATGTGATTTAAGCTACTGGCAGTTTACTTAATGTAAGTTTTAAAAAGGTCATTGCTGCTGAATGAGTCTCTAGATCAGTTTAGAATTGTCTCTGAAAACTTAAGCAACCAAAATATTATTTCAAAAAATAATTACAATTCTGAGGAACTTTAGTACTAGCAAAAGCACTATGGCCTCATGGCAGAAGGTGAACCAGCTTCCCAAGGGGCCTGGCTGCTGAGCGTCTGGAAAACTGCGGCCGACAGCCCCGGAGGCCCCAGCCCTCTCAGAGCCCTCGCAGCGCCCGACCTCACCGCACGAGGACGGGTCGGTCCAGCTCCGCCGCAGTGAATGAGCAGGGCCACGCTGTGACCAAGCCTGAAGCTTAGGCTCTACAGAGAGGAGGAAGGAGATGAAGGCAAAGAAAGTGAAAATGCAGGAAAGGAGGCCGTGAGCAAGGAAAACAGGGAACCAAGAGGGGGAGAGGAAGAAAAGAACAAGACCACCTGGCAAGGCAGGCAGTGGTCAGTGCCTGGAACTCCACCTCAGAAGCCACTCTCTACACAAATGCCATTCGCTTTCCTACCCCAACAAGAAGAAAAACTGGCTTTATTGGACTATAGAATCGAGAGCAACAATAGTAACCCGTGTTAGGGAGTACAGAGGATTCCGAAGTTGTTAGCCACTCAAGTCCTTCTCAGTTCAAAGCTCACCAAAGCAACACTTCAAAACATCAGCCTCCCAACACCTCTGCCTGCTTCCCATGCGTCCCTTGGCAGGCTCCGCAGGCCGTTGCCGCACGTGGAGACGCCGAGGGCTAGCTGTGTCTGTGCCCGGAGGAAGGCACAGCGCTCCAGGATGTTGGTGTATGGGACACACAGTACCCAGCTTAGCTCCTCCACATTTCAAACTTAAAGTAGGTCAAGAACATGCTGCTATATGAGCGCTGACTCTGAATGTCCATAATATAAACTTCAATTTGAAGCAACAATGTTACACAGTTCAGCTGTTAGTACCAACCTGCTTTGTAAGTTAAATATACAAATTAAAAGTTAATTTTTTGAGTAACGAAAAATAAGTTTCTACTGACTTAAAACTGTCAAATGGCTAATTCTCTCTTAACTAAGAGAGAAATGCAGATGAAAGCAGAAGGAACAACTGAATAAATATAACTTGTCATTCTACCCTAAAATCTGCACTTTTCAAAATGTCCCTTAACAGAGTTATGCATAGGAATACATCAGCCCTGCAGACAACTGCGTATTTAATAATTTACCCTAACGTTAACAATTTATGCAACTCAGTATGTATCCACTTTGTCTCATGCGAACAGATGCACAGTCTGGAGAAGGCAGGACTGAAACTACAGGGTTAAAGTTTCAGTACAGTGTTCACCTGCATGGCGGAACTACTTCTTCCTATGGCTATTCAACAGCTGAGTTAAAATGCTTGTTTTAACAAACAGAAAGAGGAATGAGACTGTTGTAAAAAGGACTGAAAAGACAACCCCCGATTTGAAGATCAATCATACAAGGGAGAGAGTGTCAAGTGTTCTCGCACTTGGTTAGAAACACACGGCAGGAAAGTGAACACTGGAACTCACGAATGTGAGGAATAACCTGTTTGCTCACTGACTCAATTATGCAGCTGGAACAAGACCACTTAGCACACACTCAGAGATATGCCTGCGGGACAGCCCTGTGGACAGCGCTCCATGCTGCACCAGCAGGGACCCGGCCAACTGGCACCCTCCGTGCTGTCACTGGGTCCTCACTTCTGACTTCAGTACCTCCTCTGCTGGCCCATCTGGGTCACACCGAGTTTCCCCCTTCACCACCACACTCCCAGACTCTCCTAAATTCTACAACTCTACCTCCTCTTCCTGTTCACTGAACTCTTACCAACAGGTACCACCTCTAACACGATGACTTCACCTGGAGATTTTTAAAGTCGACCTCAGTAAGCTCCTGGAGGGAGATCCCTGAGCTCAGAGTGAGATCAGACTGCTCCTGAAAAGAGGAGGTAGGACTGCTGCGTGACAAGAACATCCTGAAGGGTGGACCTGGGGCAACACTAACCAGTCAACTCATGAGAAGCAATTCTGCTATGACTTCAAGGGAAGAAGCAATCGCAAGCACTTAGAGGACAGCAATTTTATCTGTATATTCTGAGTAGTGTATTGGCAGCACTGCAAATATGCTTTTCTCAGTGAACCTCAAGGATGGACTGGCAGTATTTACTAAAATACTGTGAACTGTTATGAGAATTATTCCTAAAATTCATCAGATGCTTTATGGTACACCAGACTTGTAGCTTCCTGATTTGACTACGGTCAACATAAATAACGTATAGTAAGCCATTCATTTACAAAGAAATTCCTTCCACCCTGGCTAGTGTGGCTCAGCTGACTGGGCATCGGCCCGTGCAAAGAAAGGTTGCTGGTTCAATTCCAGGTCAGGGCATATGCCCCAGCTGCGGGCTTGATCCCCAGTAGGGGGCGTGCAGAGGAGGCAGTCGATCGATCGATGTTTCTCTCTTACATGGATGTTTTTCTCTCTCTCTCTAAAATCAATAAAAACATATTTTTAAAAAAGAGAAATTCTTTCCTAATCAGAGAATAAAAGGCAATTTTTTTTCTTTCAAAGGGAGGGAGAAAGGCAGGGAGGGAAAGACGTTTTTTTAACCTAATTTTAAACCTTTAGAAAATTTTCAAAATAATCAAGCTCTCTGTAAATACTGTCAATATATGTGAACTGTTTGAAAACTACAGTTATATTTACATTTTTGGAAACTTTCCTTCATGGCCATGTAACGTGTTGTATCTTCCTCTTTGTTTCTGGTGGCTTCAGGTTATCCTAAAATGACATAAACAGAAATCAGTTTATACTTACAAAAATGTCAGAGAACAACTGGAATGACTATTTTTAAGCCACCAAGGTTTACTACCAACATGCAAATGGTAGATCCCTGCTGCCATCTGGTGGGAGAGATCTTAGATTAGGAAACAGAGCAAGCCTCCTTGGCTCCCATTTTTCTAGCTGTGGTTCTCAAACATGTGCACCTTAGGATCACCCAGGGCACTTACAAGTATGTCCGGACCTGGGCCTTATCCCAGGACCAGTTAGGTGAGAACCCACAGGCAGCAGGGATGAGGCTCTGACCTCTGACTTTCTGAAGCTCTAGGGCAGTGGTTCTCAACCTTCCTAATGCCGCGACCCTTTAATACAGCTCCTCATGTTGTGGTGACCCCCAATTTCATTGTTACAAATTGAACATAATTAAAGCATAGTGATTAATCACAAAAACAATATGTAATTATATATGTGTTTTCTGATGGTCTTAGGCGACCCCTGTGAAAGGGTCATTCGACCCCCAAAGGGGTCGCGACCCACAGGTTGAGAACCGCTGCTCTAGGGTATACGCAGGGTTGAGACCACTGACTGCTCCTGGGCTGCTTCCCCCCTGCAGAACCCATGTCCTCCCTCAATCTCACAATCCAAGATCTTAACAGGAGAAAAGATTTAAAAAAACACACAAAATCACACCTCTGAGCCTAGCGGGTAGCTCAGCTGGTTGGAGCATCGACCCACACACCAAAGGGTGGCAGGTTCGATTCCTGGTCAGGGCACACACCTAGGTTGTGGGTTCAATTGCCAGTCGGAGCACCTCCAGGAGGCAACTCATCGATGTTTCTCTCTCCCTTTCTGTCTCTAACATTAACAGAAAACATATCCTTGGGTGAGGATTAAAAATAAGTAAGCAAAATTTTTTAAAACCACACCTCTCAAAGAGTAAAAATTTTCTGAGTAGAAAAATGTTTTCTCAAAAACTAAAAAAAAAAACAAACAAAAAAAAACTCCTTAAAGCTCACTCCTTACTGTAATATGTGAGGGTGGATGCCTCTTCCCACTCCTATCTTGACACCCTCTCCCTCCTTCCTACAAAGGTGACGGAGTTTAGTGTGGAAGCAACATGGTGTCATAAGCGCATGTCGGGGGCCAGGCATGAATTCTAACTGAACCCTGGACAAGTTTATTTAAAGTATCCAACCTTCTGTTTCCTCATCTGTGAAATGGAAATAACTATTGTGTCTGCATCACAGGATTACTAAAAGGATTCAAGGAACTAATGTAAGGATTTAGGGCTGGTCGGATACACAGCAGCTTTCTTTTTCTAGGGTCTACTATTTTTGACTGAACTACTCTGAGTTTTGATCCCTTTGACACACAATTTGAAGATAATAAAGCCCAAGTATATACTACAGGAATGTGCTACAGACTGAATGTCTGTGTCCCCTCAGAAGTCATGTATTAAAACCTAACCCCCAATGTGATATTGGAGGTGGGCCTCTGAGGTAATTAGGTAACGGGGTGGAGCCCTCATGAACGGGATGGATGCTTTTATAAAAGGGACCCCAGAAAGGTGCCTTGTCCCTTCTGCCATGTGAGGTCCCAGGCAAGCAACTGACTATGAACCAGGAAGTGGGCTCTCACCAGACACTGAGTCTGCCAGGGCTTTGATTTTGGACTTCCCAGCCTCCAGGACTGTAAGAAATAACTGCTTGTTGCTTGAGCCATCCCATCAATGGTATTTTTGTTATAGCAGTCTGAGATGAACAAGGTTATAAAACCGCTGGATGTTTACATAATCTCATAAATTAAACTCTAAGTAAACTGTGTAACTGTATCCAATTTGCCAGCATCTAAAATGCTTAAGTAGCCCTGACTGGTTTGGCTCAGTGGATAGAGCATCGGCCTGCGGACTGAAGGGTCCCGGGTTCGATTCCAGTCAAGGGCATGTACCTTGGTTGCAGGCACATCTCCGGTAGGGGGTGTGCAGGAGGCAGCTGATCGATGCTTCTCTCTCATCGATGTTTCTAACTCGCTATCCCTCTCCCTTCCTCTCTGTAAAAAAATCAATAAAATATATTTTTAAAAATAAAAAAATAAATAAAATGCTTAAGTGCAGTAGAACACAACATAGTAGATTCCTCCAAGTGTCCTCTACCCTCCAAGGACAGGGACATTCAAGGGGCAGGGGAGGCAAGTGGTAAGTCCTAGACTCTAGTGTGGCTTAAGTGAAGTGCAAAACAAAGACCAAGCTCTCCCACACCACTGAAATGTGACCTGCACAAATTACCTAACATGCTGAGCCTTGCTAACAAGAGGATTTCTTTCTGCCCTGGCCGGTTTGGCTCACTGGATAGAGCTTCGGCATGAGGACTGACAGTCATGGGTTCGATTCTGGTCAAGGACACATGCCTGGGTTGCGGGCTTGATCCCCTGTGAGGGGTGTGCAGGAGGCAGCCAATCAATGATTCGCTCATCATTGATGTTTCTATCTCTCCCCCTCTCCCTTCCCCTCTGAAATCAATAAAAATATATTTTAAAAAAAGAGTATTTCTTTCTTTTAGTTGCAAGATACTTAAAGGATCTAAATGAGAAAAATCTAGGGTAAGTGTCTAAGAGACTCTCTCTTTACACATTTTAAGCAGGAAAAAAAACTGAGTGTACTTTTTAAAAAGCATCAGTTTACCATGATGGATTTATGAGAAATGAGACGTAAAAATCTGACAGATCACATGAGGGCTAAGGACCAGCTTGCAGCAGTGACTGCTCAGAGACCTCGTTCCCCTCTCATGCGCAGGGAAACCGCCCACTCACCACGGCCTCGGCTTCTTCTTTCGGAGCAGCTCGCTTTAGCTTCACTGGAGTAGTTCCCACTGGGGACAAAGGCGGCAGCTTCGCGGGGCCCAAAGGACTTTTCCCATGCGCTAAGTCATGGTTCTGTTTAGTGTCATTATTATTGTGTTCCATCTTATTGTTCATAGGCAAATTGGAAGACAAAATTAGGGGTGACACACTTGAAGAGGAACTTGATAATTTTCGAAAGGCATTACTGGTAAAGCTTGCCTGAGAGGGAGGCTTGAGTCGATCATTATCCCCATTCTCTGTCTTTCTCACTTTTATGCTTGTGCTTGTTGAACTTCCATCAAACACAATGAGAGGTCTTTTCTTTGACACGTCTACAGTGCTACTCCTGAAATCAAAGAGACACGTTCATGAAAGATGCCATCTGCAATGGCAAAGCAGTTACTAGAGTGTAAAGTTAAAACAATGACCAAAAAAATTTACTGATAAGACGAATCTATTGTAAGTAGGACCACTAGAAAAGAAATTTTCTTTTACACTCTAAATGAAATAATTTTCTGGTGCTTTAAAGTTTAAATATTTGTTGACATGAAATTTAAAGAGAGCGTTATTGTACACACAAGAGAGTTATTTTTAAAACATCAATTGACCAACTACCCCTAAAAGGTAAAACAGAATTTCCTAGTAACTAAAAATTCTTTTAATTTTTAAAAATCACCATCTTACTGATAGGGTTATCCTGACCATGTATTACTATTTAGAAAGGATAATAAACTACAAAACTATACCAAGACAACCATAGCGGCAATCTATATATGACGATACGAACACTCTGCTCCATTCAGTAAGGTCGCTTAAGCCAAGGCATTTTCTAAAATAACTGGAACTGTAACATTTGTATGATTTTAATTTTAAAATTTAGCAAGTCTTCACATTTAGCTTCTGAAAATCTAATTTCCATTCTTAATCGTAAAGATAATAAAAGTGTTTCATCTGTTCATTATTCTTTATACCTCAAACAACAGATTTTTGATAAAAACCTTTTAATTAAACACACTTAGCAGGAAGAACTCCCCAGCCCTGCTACTCAAAGTGTGGCCCAGGGACCAGTAGCATCTGTAGTATCTTGGGAGCTTGTAAAAAAATCAGAATCTGCCTTTTAACCAGATCCCAGGTGATTGGCCAAATTCACCACTGACAACCATTTGGCAGAAGATGAAAAATAAACTCATTATAATCCACTGCCACTGCAGGAGGGAAACAGAAGGACTGGGAGCAGGTGTGTCAGCTGTGAGAGTTTAATCTAGAGGCAAGGGGCGCCTTCAGGTCTGAGAAGCGCAGCAGTAAAGAGCTGATCCAGCTCGGTGGGACCAGGCACGTCTCAGCACTTCTCCAGAGCTCCATTCCTCCAGAGATGAACCAGCAGGCGACTCAATAATGTTCAGTGACCTCGTAGATCCTTCCAGCTTTAATGCTCGGATACAGGAGTCAAACTGTGATTTTTAAAAATAGAGCCAAAGATCCTTTCCAAAGTGACTCTGAGGGACTAAAAGAAGCTGTCACATGAAGTAAAGTACGTCAGGATTGAAAGCTTTGCCTAGGACAATGGGCCTGAATGTGCAGATAAAGAAGAAAATACTTTCAAAGTAAGAGTCAACAGAAGTCAATTAAAGATATGCACAGCATAATCCAGATTTATGAAAGTTGACACTAACACACAGCCTGACCAACACGCAACCATCGAGCTAAAATGATGCTCAACCTGAACTGAATGTGTTCCTGATCCAAAGTGGGACTGTATGCTCATTTACTTTCCAAAAGACTCTGAGCACGCATGCCCCATTCTTCACTATTCTACTCCTCAGGGAATAACCTCCCTACCGGTCATGAGTTTTTCTGCATTCTTCATAACCAGAGATTAAAACCAGGAATCAGAATTAGCATTCTCCCTCACTCCATCGCTACTGCACTGCCCATGACAGCACCTTACAAACAGAAGGCTCTCAAAGGAGATTCAGTAATCAATAACACCCACTTGCCATATAAGTGACACAGGAAAAGAAACAGCTAGCTCACTTAGGGATCTCTGGGTACTTTGTCCTCATTAACTAACCAACTATACTGATGAATCACATGTATCTTTAAAAGGAAATTTCATTTGCTTGTGGTTCTATAAACAATTTTCTGAAATTTAAAAATGTGAAATGGTGTCCCTGAAGCTGTATGAGCTCTCCATTTCTGTATTATTCAAAGACCTTATTAGAGTCTTGATTCTATTTTTTTCTCACAATTCAGCACATGTTGGCTCTGGCTCTACCTCTAAAACACATCCAAACCCAACCACTTCTCAAGTCCACGACCACCTCACAGTCACCACCAGCTGTTGCCTGGATCACTGCAGTCTAATTGGTTTCCCTGTCCCTCCCCCACCTTAAATCACTTCTCAGTATGGCAGCCAGCATGACCCTGTTAAAACCGACTTCAGATGGTGTCACCACTCTGCTTGAAACCCTCCATTGCCTTCTCCTCTCAATAGTCCAGCCACAGTTCTCACAATGACTTGCAAAGCTTTATGTGATCTGACAATCTCCACTCATGCCCAGTCAACCTCGCCCCCTCTCCCCCTGAATCTCTCCACCCAGCCTGGTGGTCTCTTTGCTGTTTGTGGGCACACTCTTAACCCCAATTATTGTATTCTGCTTGGAACGCTAGCTTACTCACTACTCACTAGGTCTCTCTACTGAAATGGCATTTCTCAGTGAGGTTGTTCCTGGCCACTTTAATTAAAACTGTAAATCTGCCCTAGCCGGTTTGGTTCAGTGGATAGAGCGTTAGCCTGCGGACTGAAGGGTCCCAGGTTCGATTCCAGTCAAGGGCACATGCCTGGGTTGCTGGCTCGGTCCAACGTGCAGGAGGAAGCCAATCAATGATTTCCTCTCATCATTGATGTTTCTCTCTCTCTTTTCCTCCCTCTTCCTTTCTGAAATCAATAAAAATATATTTTTTAAAAAATAAATAAAACTGTAAATCCTCTCACTGCTTTTTCTTTTGTCACGATTAACATACAATATATTTTCCTTAATATTTTTTATCATGTTTCTTCATATTAAAATATAAGCAGGAAATTTTGTCAGTTTTATTCATGGTATATGTACAGTGCCTGGTGCTCAATAAAATAGTTGTTGAGTAAATGAAATCTTTTTGACCTAAATTTACCTAGGGAGAAAAAAGAAAGTAAAATTGTTTAGTCATTGAAGATGAAAACCAGAAGCATTGAGAAGTACCTTTTAGTCTCGTTTTTTGGCTCATGTTGCTCTCTTTTCTTTTCCATCATTTTCCCCCATCTATTCTTTGGCAAATCTCTCTGAGGCAACGGTATTGCATGCTGAACATACAGATCAGTAAGATTGTCTTTGTTTATTCTTACATCACTTTCAACAGCTATGTTCTTCTGTGGAAAAGAAAACAAAAGTAAGTTCAAAACAACATCCTTCTTTTAACAACTAACAAACTACCTGCCTAACAGGGCAGAACATTACTGCTTAAATAACAAATTATAAAACCACTGTTACAATTAGACACATGCTTAAGGGTCCGTTATAATACTGAAAAAGCGGTATTATAAGTAGGTCAAGCTCTGTAAATATTAGGTTCAGCCTCCTCTGACCAGCAATGGCCACATGTCGTCTGTGTGACAAGCCCTACTGTCCAGTGTTCAGCCAACATGCCAGGTAATAGGGGCGTCCGCTGACACCATCCTCATCGATGAGGAGAACAGCGAAGGAAACCCGAATGGAGATGTGATCACGGGCTCACCTACCATTCTGGGAACACTGTGCTTAGAACTGACTAAACACATCCAATCTATGTCCTCTGAAACTTTTCCCAATCCTTTTTTCCCCTTAAAAACTTAAAAGCACAATTTTGCTCCTTTTCTGTCTTATACCAGATGGGCCTTTATCATCAACTTGCACCTGCACTCACTCACTGGGAGACATGTGGGAACCCCAAGGGTCCCATAGACAGTGTCCCACAGAAACACTGGCAGGTTAGACGGGGAGGCCCTGCTGAGGGGCAGCGGTGCTAACTGTGGTCCCTGAACTTGAAGCGAGAACTTGCTAAAAAAACACACGCAGATTTTCAGGCCACATCTCAGAACTACTGACTCCGACACAGAGGGGATGAGTCCCGCAAAATGTGTGTTAACCAGTCCTGGGTGACTCTGATGTGCCTAAGAGGTTTGAGAAACACAGGCAAAAGGTAACTGACATCACTAACATGACCGGCTGAGCTAGGGCTTGATGAGATTAGACAAAGATGCAGCACGGAGGGTTGAGGAAACACAAGAAAAACAAGGTGCTATACATAAAACCCCAAGGAAACGTTCAGTAATTCTCTACCACTTTACACAAAATTTATCACTTTGTGTCTTCTTTTTCGCCTACTATGAGCGGCCACATTAGCTGAGAAAGAGCAAACGCTACACCGAGAGCGCAGAACCCCGAATTCTTCTCCTGGCTGATCCTGCACCGCAACCACCACGGGGTGCCCCGAAAGGGGGCAGTTCACCCCTGCGTCCTCGTCTGCAACCGGGGTGCGCGTGCGGTGTTCCCCAGTCCCCGACCACGTCCCCGTTTCCGTCCCCCCACGACCCTCGCCCGGCCCCTCTTCCTTGCTCCCGTACAGGCCGCGAGGGTCGCCTAGGACCCCTCTTTGCGAGCCATCGAGAACACCAAAAGGTAAGTCCCAACCCCCAGGGGTGCCTGATGTGCGAAGACATCTCCTTTCGGGGGGCGCGGGGAGACCAGGTGGGCTATCAAACGGAGTCATAAAGTTTTCTGTCGGACTATCAGTGTACATGTATACATTAAAAAATAAATGTATTTTTCATCATCATATACTGTGTTTTTGTCGCTCGAATGAATTTTATTATTTCTTCAAGGTTCTTCGCATACATACACCTTAAGAGATATCAAGTAGGCGTAACTTGTTCTCAAAAAATTAGGGTTGGCATGCAGAAGAATTTTGAGTCAGGATTTTGCTGGTTTTGGCATGCACTCACAAAAAGGTTGCCCACCCCTGTTATATGCAGTCATGGGTGGGAAACTTGTCTTCAGTGGGTTTGGCAGCTGAGGTGGTAGGCTTGGAATGTAGGTGTGCAATGAGGTATCTTCAGGACAGTTTCCTTGCATGGTCTGACTCTTAGTGTCTGTTAGGGTCGCTGGAGGAGGAATACATGAGGCCAAAGTGGTGAGGGATTATGAATTTATTAGATCTTCCACAAACCAGATGGGCTGAGCCCCAAAATGGCATTAGCACCCAAAGACAGGAGTCAGAGGTTTTTAAGAACTTTTGGTGGACTTTTTCTGGGTGGAGAATTTTTTGTGCAGATCTAGATCCTAGGAAGGTCCAGAGGGGAGAGAAAATGGTCTTAGCAAGTGGAATGTTGTCTAAGCGAAAGGGAATGTCTGTTGTGAAGTGGCCTGAAGGTCGGTTCCCAGGAGAAGGGTTTTGATTCAATTATTTGATCAAACCTAATAGTGTCCAGCAAGCTTATTTTTCCTGGTCTTGTGTTCTCCTGTGGCGGGAAGCTTGCAAATGGCCATTAAGGATTGTATTGCCCTACCTAACATTTCTCTCCTCTTTCTGTTTGTTAATAATTATTCTTAATGGAATGGGGCACTCCTCTTCTTCTGTCCGTGGGCGTAAGGAACAAGGCCCTCCCCTCTGGTGCTGTTGACCGGGTATCTGAATAAACAATTACTCCACATATCAGAAACCAACCAGTTAGCATTATTATATTTAAAATTGTTTTTCTTGAGATGTTAGTGTTTATTGCATGTAACATTATTATATTTAAAATTGTTTTTCTTGAAATATGTTTTTAAAAAACAACAACCAGTTGGCAGCTTAGTATGTCCATTACTATAAGGGAGGGTGAAATTATAATAGTTCATAGATACTGAAAGACAACTAGGTCACCTGGGAAAAGTCAGACGTTCACCACAGGGAGCTACTGCAGCAACCTTTATAGAAAACATCCTGCATCTTGTTAACATAAAAACATTCAAACCTGTAAAGAATTTTTGTGAGTTTATTTGAGCCAAACTGTCGACAATTGCTGGGAAGCAGGATCTCAACAGATTGGGACAATGCTCCAGAGAATGGTGGGTTTTTCATCTATTTTTATACATTGCAATCAAAGGAGGGGCCGTAGGTGGGTTACATGAATTCCATTGGTGATGGATTAGAGAGGGGGGAGAAAGCAAAGGGGGGAGGGGTGGGAACCTCTGGGATTGGATAAAAAGTAAAATGATAGACACATACTTCTTTTACTTAGGTGGGTGCAGGATAGTTAACAGTCAACAATTAACATGATAACAACACTAAAGGAATTTTTGGTCTCTGTCCTGGTGCCCAGGCACACTTGGTTATGCCCTGAGGGGTCCAGAAATAGGGAAGTTACAAGTTACCCCGACCTTTCACAAGGATGTTATCTTAGATGCAAAAAGACAGATAGGTTCAGTTAAGGTAAAGATTGACCTTTATTAGGGAAGATACTGGCCCAGGACATGACTACCCACTACAAACTGCTTGTAGTTAAAGTTTCAATTTAACCATCCTTTATGGTTACTTTAGGTCTTTGAGTTTCCAAAACCTCCATGCAGGCCTCCCTGAGCTTGTCAGGTTAGCATGTGGCCTTGTTTTTTCGTCCACAGTCCTTTTCCCGGACAGTGGGTTCCAACACATAAAGGTCCCCGTATGTGACTTTCTTCCCAAAATGGATAGAATGAGTATAATTCTATATATTAGCAATAGGTGTTCCAGCTCCTACCAGGCAAGATGTAAAGGTCTGTTCTCCATAGGTCCCTCCTTGAGGTGTTCCTGGGGTTCAGTCACCCATTCTTCCCCTTCTGGGGCCCTCTTCACTCTGGTGTGATGGATGCAGGGACTCAGAGCATTTGGAGTGGTGAGAAGCACGTCCCAGGGTCCCGGCCATGTTGATCGTCCTATGATCCGGTTTTCCATGTTTTGAGTAGAATTCTGTCTCCTGCTAAGAAGGGATGTAGGAAAAAAAATTCGTAGCACATGCCAAATCATTACCCACTGCTGAGGACACCATGTGGAGGGACTGGGAGGTAAAAGCTGGTCCTGAGGCAGCCACAGTGTCACTTGCCTGGTTTTGCTGCTTTTCTTGGCTTGAAACTGAAATACAACTGAGGCCTAGAGAGGAAAAGGTCTCAGGGGTTTTAAAAGAGCCGGGTCCAAACCACATGACCAGTGATATGCTAGGGGAGGAGAGGTTACTCTGGGGGCGAGGTTCTTGTTTTCCCAGCTTTGCCCCTTGCTCAGCATCTGGCTTCCAGGGCTTTTTGCCTTAGTGAGTTTCCATACCTAGCTCATCGTCCTCGCTCTGGGAGTCTAACAGTAGGCACTCGTGTATTTGTTCCCTGAAATAATTCTCGAATTAATCTGCTCACGTATAAAAATAACTGAGAGCGCTGGTGACAACATCCAAATATTAGTTAGACATTGGCTGTGTGCCAGATACTGCATTTATATAAATTGCTGGTTCCTCGGAACAGCCTTCTGAGATGCACAGTACTGGAATGCTTATTTTTTTCAAACGAGAAAACAGGCATGGGGTAATTTGCTCAAGATCAGAGAATGAGGAAATAGCAAGTCTAACATTCAAGTACATTTCCTCTGCACTTGTACCTACAGTAAAGTAACAGTTTTAGTTTAAACGGAATCTAGTTGTGTTATGATCTAATCTCTAGTAGTTAATTTATTGAAAAGTCTTTCCTACTTCTCTTTCATCTTTTGAGGAGGGGATATACATCCCAAAATATTTTGCACATTTAAAACTTAAACTTGGAGACAGTTGTCAAAGCTTGTGGTTTGCATCTTCTATGATGTATTGTTTTATTGGAAGTTATTACAGTGTCTAAAAAGATCTGAGGATGCCAAAAGATAAACCTTGCAAGGGAATTGGAAAATAAGTGAGATGCTAAATCAAAAGTCAAGATAAAGTTGAGAGGTGTTTTCCAATTTTTCATAATCATTTATGTATATGATGCTTTATCTAGAAATTGAATTTCAGAGCAGGGCAGAATTAAAAGTTACTCAGGTCAGTTCTTTCATTTTCGTGCTGAGGAAGTGGATCTGAGGAGATTAAACGACTTGCCAAATTGAACAGAGTTTTAGAACTGAGCTGAAGCAGGTGTTTGGGTTCCTAATTTGGAGCTATGTGTATTAACTTCATGGTATTAGCATCATGGCATTCCATGTCCAGAATCTGACTTGATTTTCATGATAATAGTGAAGTGAGTGTGACTGGCATTAGCCCCATTTCCTCCTCTAAAAGGCACATGCATTGTTTTAGTGGCACAAGCAGCTGCCTTGGAGGAGCCTTGGAAACCAGACCTCAGTTCAGATTTTGTTCTGCTGCACCAAGACCCTGGGTGAGTCACTCAAGTCCTAAGCCTCAGTCTTATCAGAAAAATGCTCTGCTAACACGTCCGTGGAGAATATCTAAGGAGTAGAGCTTACATAACACACTTGGGCCCTGGCCAGGTAGCTCAGTTGATTAGAGCAGCGTCCCAAAATGCCCGGATTGAGGTTTGATCCTCTGTCAGGGCACATACAGAATCAACCAATGGATACATAAATAAGTGGAACAACACATGGATATTCCTCACTCTTCCTCTCTTTCAAATCAATAATTTAAAAAAAAACAACGAACACACTTGACACAGAGTAGGTGCTTAATAAATGGCAGCTGGTTTTGAGACATATGTCATGCCTTCCCATTTGAGCCTCCTCCCCTGTGAAATGGGAATGATAACACACCTCATCATGTTAAGAGATGGGCGCCAACGCATGAACACTTGCCTCTGCCTGGAGGTCTGTGGTAGCCTGTGACTGTCATCAAAGGAGAGACGTGGCAGCACGGAGGTGGAGCTGCGGAAAACTTGAGCTTCAGACCCTGAAAATGGCGAGAGGTGCTTGCTCCCTGTGGTGCTCTGGACCAGTCACCTGACGTGAGTACATCCCACTTTAAAATGAAAAATTAAATCCATTAGGATAATTCTAGGTGTCTCTGAAGCTAAAATCTCAGGGTAGAGGGAGTGTCTTCTGAGGCAGAGAAAAAACCCAGGTTCAGAGAGGAGGAAGTAGAGTGAGATTCTGATGCCGGACCCCTCTCCGGGGAGGGAGAGCCTGGGAATGCCTGCGCCCTCTCCATCTGCAGATCCTGGAGAGTGGAGCCTCGGAGTATTCGCAACCTGCTGTCTGGGTTCCAATCAGTGTTCCTGAGGCAGGAATCTGGGAAAGAGGAGAATTTTCCTTTCTAAGAAGTTCTGAGGTGATGTTTCAAATATGCCGAGGCAGCAGGGCCACCTCCCAGAGATTTCGCAGGGCAAGGAAGCCACAGCTGGCCTCGACCCGACCCGCGGAGCCAGGTGTCGCCAGGACTGGAGGGCCAGACTGAAAACCGGCACCAGAGACCAAGAACATCCCAGGATCCTTGTGGGTGGATCAGTAATGCAAAGATCTGGTGTCTCCCTCTTCTCATCTTGGCACTTCAGAGATTCCCTAATCTGGACCCAG